CTCTCTGTCTCTCATTCTCTCTGTCTCAAATAAATAAAAATAAAAAAAAAAATCTTTAAAAAAAAAAAATGTTTCAGTATTTTATTTGAGGATGACCTAGACAGTGAATTTCATTTAAGTCATCATTTAACTTAACAAAACTTTAAGGGTTCGAGGAACCAAAAGATCTTTGGAAAGTATTTGCTGAAAATTTCACCTGGAGATTCTTCCCATTTACATCTATTTAAATCGTTAGTTTTTAATAGTTATGCTTTGATTACTCATGAAAATTTCACTGATGTTGGACACAAAGTCATTCCAGGTTAGTTTTTGGGGCAACCGATTCTGTAACAAGTAACAGGAACTAACTTGATTAGTAAGCCCGAGTGGAACAGAAGTTGCATTATATTCAGTGTTAATAACTCCAGAGACATGTCTATTTTAATTAAACCAACAAACTGAAAGTAGCTTTTTGTCTCCAGAGATTATCCTAGATCATGTGAACTTGAGGAGGGAAAAGCTCCGAAGATTTGGGTTAGTTTTTGTATTTTTAAGAGTTTTAGGGATCCTTCCACAAAGCCTGCAGAAGGCTTTTCTTTCCATCTGGTGACATAGTTTTAGCTTAGAGGAGAGAGGGCCGAAAAAACGTTCCTATTAGGTTCTGAGTATCAGCTTCCTGTTTGGCCAAGTACTAAAGCAATCCTTTTAAATCTTTTGTCAGTTTTAACTGGGACAAATATTTCTGGCAATATTGATCCACCCCTTGGACTTAAGAGACGTCACCAAAGAGGGCACCAAAGTTTTGTCTCTTTCTTTTTCTGCTGATGCTACAGACAGGTCTGGGATGACTGACTCTCGTGGGACTGCTCACCCTTTGGCGGCTTTTGTGTTTCCCAGGATCCCGTCTGCAGGCTCCGTGCAGGTTAAGGCAGAGGTGTGGCTCTGCTATCCCCCAGACTTTGACAAGGTTTTCCATTAATTTTAATTCCGGTTTCCTGGCTGTTTCTGGAGTGAGGTCGCAGCCCATCGAGCCATCCCTGGGAGCCTCGCCAACTCTGGCATGGCTGGGTGGGAGCTCCGTCTCAGGGGAGTAGGGGTATGCGCAGGTACTACTTCGCCAGATCTTGGCTCTTGTTCCGGAGTCCTTCAGAGTCAGATTGGTGGCCTCTCATCCTGTTTCCTGCCTTCTTATCAACCCATTAATCATAGGAGAGAACTCAAGTGCAAAAGCCTTCCAGGATCCTCCCTGGGTTTAGGAAATTTTTTAGCGGTGACCTTGAATTTGGCTTTTGGCCAAGGAATGAAAGCTGCCCCGGGGGAGGGGGGGGTTGGCCGTGGCCAATTCCTTGGGTGGCATTGTTTGAAAAGGAGCCTAGCTGAGCGTGTCCTCAGGGTGGAAAGGGGCTGAGGCTGAGGAGTACTGGAAGGAGGAGCCCCGAGTGGAGCAGTGACATTGTACAGCCTTCTGTATTAGCTGCCTCTCGTTTTCAGTTTTCCATTAACATTTGCCACAGATCTTTCAAAGTAGCTATTTTGGAATTTTGAAGCATTTTGAAGTCTTCTGCATGACAATTAAAATAGGAGTCCCATTCTCTTTGGTTTGGAACCCTTGTTTTTAAGGGCACTTTTTTTTTTTTTTAAGATTTTATTTCTTTGTCAGAGACCTCACCCTACACTCTCAAAAAAGGCAGCATATTACTTTCTTTCACATGACAGTATATAAGGGGTTACTTATTTTTGAAAAAAAGTGTATTTCCTAAGAATTAGAAAATTTCTGAAATCTAAATTCTAAGAATTATTTTTCTGAAATATTAGTTTTAGATAATTATTCATTTACTGCATTCCTTTGTATAGTGAGCTATACCAAAAGATTTCACTTCAAGGGTGTCCTGTATCTAGAAAGCTGACAGCTCCCCGCGGCGTGCAGACGTGAGAAGATTTCTCCTCTCGGCCCTCATAAAAGGAACGCTAAATTTGGCGGAGTGTTTTCAACAGTGTTCCCGTCATAAACACAGAAGCATTTCTGGACTGAGCTTGACGCTTCTCTTTATGTAAGCTGAAGATCTTGCTCAAAGCCAGTTCGTTGAAAACAACTTTGTGGAAGGTCAGAGAAGTGCGCTCTGCCGGTACGCAGGCCATTATGAGAGTCCAGCTTGACCCAAGCGTTGAATTCAGATGTTGAGAAGTCCTGGAGAGTTATCCTTTCGCAGTCCTCCATGAGTTTATTCCTTAGATCGAGGCTTCGATTCAAATGGGCAGCGCGTGGAGTGTGTGCAGGGCACGTCCGTACATGGTGACTGAAGTAACGCTGGCGGTTCTGCACAAACGCTGAAGAATCTAACAAGGGCTTGTGCCTGAAGATGCAGCTTCTGCCCTACCCGCCAACCCCCTACCCCCCTACTTGCTTCTACTGATGCTGCAGGGACTGGACTGGCCCGTGTGCACCAGGCCTTCCTGCCTCCGGGGAGCCTGGGAAGCCCCAGTGTGCTGTTCCACGCCCCCCTGCACTGCTTCCCCTCCCCATTTAAATTAAATTAATAATTTAGTTATAATTTAAAATTCCACATGTGAGTGAAATCATATGATAATTGTCTTTCTCTGACTGACTGACTTTGCTCAGCATTATACCCTCCAGCTCCATCCGTGTCGTTGCAAATGGCAAGATTTCATTCTTTTTATGGCTAATATTCCACTGTGTATATACCACACCTTCTTTACCCATTCTTCAGTCTGTAGACACTTAGGCTGCTCCCATATCTTGGCTATTGTAGATAATGCTGCTGTAAACATCGGGGTGTGTGTAACCCTTTGAATTAGTATTTTATATTTTTAATTTTTTGAGGAACCTCCATACTGTTTTCCGGAGTGGTTGCACCAGTTTGCATTCCCACCAACAGTTCCCCTTTCTCCACATCCACGCCAACACCTGTTGTTTCTTGTGTTACTTATTTTAGCCGTTCTGACAGGTGTGAGGTGGTAGCTCATCGTGGTTTTGATTTGTATTTCCCTGATGATGAGCGATGTTGAGCATCTTTTCATGTGTCTGTTGGCCATCTGGATGTCTTCTTTGGAGAAGTGTCTTTTCATGTCTTCTGCCCCTTTTTTAATTTGCTATTTGTTTTTTGGGTGTTGAATTGTATCAGTTCTTTGTATATTTTGGATACTAACCCTTTATCAGATATGTCATTTGCAAATATCTTTTCCCATTTAGTAGTTTGCCTTTTAGTTTTGTTGGTTGTTTCCTTTTTCCACAGAAGCTTTTTATTTTGATGAAGTTCCAGTAGTTTATTTTTGCTTTTGTTTCCCTTGCCTCAGGAGACATATCTAGAAAGAAGTTACTATGGCTGATGTCAGAGACATCACTGCCTGTGTTCTCTTCTAGGAGTTTTATGGTTTCAGGTCTCACATTTAGGTCTTTCATCCATTTTGAGTCTATTTTTGTGTATGGTGTAAGAAAGTGGTCCAGTTTTCCCAACCATTGGATATTCTTTTCTGCTTTGTTGAAGATTAGTTGACCATAGAGTTGTGGGTTCATTTCTGGGTTTTCTGTTCTGTTCCATTGATCTATGTGTCTTTCTATGCGAGCACCATGCTGTCTTGATGACTAAAGGTCTGTGATATAACATGAAGTCTGGAATCGTGATGCCTCCAGCTCTGCTTTTCCAAGATTGCTTTCACTCTTCGGGGTCTTTGTGGTTCCAAACAAATTTTAGGATTGTTTGTCTAGCTCTGTGAAAAGTGCTATTGGCATTTTGATAAGGATTGCATTAAATCTGTAGATTGCTTTGGGTAGTATACATTTTAACAGTATTTGTTCTCCCAATCCATGAGCATGGAATGTCTCCATTTTTTTGTGTCATCTTCAGTTTCTTATATCAGTGTCTTATAGTTTTCAGAGCACAGGTCTTTCAGCTCTTTGAGTAGGTTTATGCCTAGGTGTTTTATTGTTTTTGGTGCAATTATAAATGGGATTGTTTTCTTTTTTTAAAGATTTTATTTATTTATTTATTAGAGAGAGAGAGAAACAGCATGAGAGGGGAGAGGGTCAGAGGGAGAAGCAGGCTCCCCGCCGAGCCGGGAGCCCGATGTGGGACTCGATCCCAGGACGCCGGGACCATGACCTGAGCCGAAGGCAGTCGCTTAACCAACTGAGCCACCCAGGCGCCCAAATGGGATTGTTTTCTTAATTTTTCTTTCTGCTGCTTCATTATTAGTATAGAAATGCAACAGATTTCTGTACCTCGATTTTGTATCCTGTGATATTACTGAATTTATCAGTTCCAGCAGTTTTTTGGTGGAATCTTTTGGGGGTTTCTACATAAAATATCATGTGATCTGCAAATAGAGATGTTTGCTGCTGTTTGCCAATTCGGATTCCTTTTTTCTTTCTGTTGTCTGATTGCTGTGGCTGGACTTCCAGTACTGTGTCGAATAAAAGTAGTGAGAGTGGACATCCCTGTCTTGTTCCTGACCACAGAGAAAAAGCTCTCTGTTTTTCCCCATTTAGGATGATATTAGCTGTGGGTTTTTCATAGGTGGCGTTTATTATATTGAGGTATGTTCCCTCTAAACTTACTTTGTTGAGGGTTTTTACCATGAACGGATGTTGGACTTTGTCAAATGCTTTTTCTGCCTCTATTGAAAGGATCATATGGTTTTCAGCCTTTCTCTTGTTGATGTGACGCATCACATTGATTGATCTGCAAATACTGAACCACCCTCATATCCTAGGAATAAATCCCACTTGATTGTGGTGAATGTTTTTTTTAATGTACTGTTGGATTCAGTTTGCTCATATTTTGTTGAGAACTTTTGCATCCATGTTCATCAGGGATTTTGGCCCGTAGTTCTCTTTTTTTGTGGTGTCTTTATTGGATCAGGATCATGCTGGCCTCACAGAATGAATTTGGAAACTTTCCTTCCTCCTGTATTTTTTTCAGTTGCAGATTTGAACTTTAGAACTCAGAATTCCTAATTCCTGGTCCAATGTTACTTCTTTTTAGTCCTTTGTTGTGAAGTACCGTACACATACAGAGAAGTGGAGACATCATTAAATACAACTGCATGAGTTTCTATAAGCAGAACCTCCAGATGAAGGAAGAGAACATTTCCGGTTATATTCATGGAGTGGTGGTTACCAGGGCTGTGCCGAGGCGGCGGGAGGGCCAGTGACTGTGCGTCCAGCGTTTCATTTGGGGAAGATGAAACGAGCTCTAGAGACGGATGGTTGCACAACACTGTGAATGTACACAATGCTACTAAACTGCACACTTAGAAATGGTTAAACTGATAAATTTTGTTAAGCAAATGTTACCACAATAAGAGAAGAGAGATCATCGCCAGAGCCTCAAAGCTGTGCTCCTTCCTTCCAGCCCTTCCCCCCAGCCCACCCGTGCCCCAGGGTTAACTGACTAAATTGAAACCTTATACATTATCAGGGACCATGCAGTCTGGCCACTAGTTTTCCACACTCGGGAGGGATAAAAGAGAAAAGCACCAAGCTTGTTTGCCTGAGGTCCCACAGAGTTTACCCATGATGACTTCCCAGGTGACTCTTGAGTTGAGTGGGACCGTAACTGTTTCTTGAATACGTGTTGGATGAACAAATGCGTTTTATCAAGTCATAGCAGATGCAGAGTTCATGAAGTTGTTAAATATGCACAGCCGGGAGGAAGAGATAGGACGCTGCATGTCTGCATGTGGCGCCCGGTCGTCTGGTCCAGCCCTCTGCATGCTTGGCGCCCGCCCTGCTGATGTGTAATACCTGACCTTGAGGTTTAATAGCCCGTTGACTCGCCTACTTTCTGTGTTTCTTCACCTGTTTCCTAAAGTGATATTTGTTACAAAGGAAGGACTGTATGCAATGTATATGTACGTTATGAATCAGAATAATAAAGCAGAAACTCACAGACCTGCCATCTATCTATGTCATGATTTTAAGTCACTAAAATGTCATTACATCTGTAGTGTTAGTGTATGCCTGTGTGTCGCTGAAATTCTGAGCGTGTCCTCATGTCTGTCCTTCTGGCATCTGTTGGTATATGAGCCAACGGGGAAGTGGCACCAAGATCTGGATCGAGTTGTAGACAAGGGCTGAGGACACACTGAGCCCAGAGGGTGTGTGGCATTCTCTCCTGGACAAGTTCACGGTTCTTCCCGCCTTGCCTGCCAGCCTCGCATCGAAACTAAGCACTGCCGACGTACTTGCCGTGTTTAATCGGCCAGAGGAAAAGTGTTTGTTCCCCTTTAGAAAGGTTGAGGTGGTGGTTTCTGTTCTTGCTGCAGCTGCATACAGACCCTCCAGACTCCACAAGATCAATCATTTGCCTGTAGCTTTCTGAATTTTGGAGTCTGCTTCTTAACCTTGTTTCTCAAAATTGAAATTTAAAGAAATCTCACTACACTGGTCTAGGAGTCAATAATACTCATTTAGTCAAGCGGTCATTACTTTTCATGAAGAACCTGTTAGGTGGAAAAGTACCGATCTTTAAAGTCTCAGTGAAAACTGATTTTTCTCTCTTAGAATGGCACGAGACCCCCCCTGGGTGCAGACGTAAATTTGGAAGCCCTTGCCGCTGACCTGCGCTGTGATTGCTATTCGTGAGTACCTACCTCGGTCTCAAGTTTGTGACCTCTCATGGGCAGAACGGGACAGTGGTCCCGTGGGGAGGGTTAAGCTCGGTATCCAGCTCTGTCCTGGCTCTTCCTTCTGAGAGAAGGGACTACCTGTTTCGAGGCTCCGAGGAGCTTTGGCGCTGGGCGCATCTGCTCCCACATTGACTCTTGGCACCCAGCTTCCCTGACCATTGTGGCTGCCTTCGCCAGTTGTCCATCCCTTCTTCCAGAAGACATGAGCAGACATTTCAGTGTTGGTGCCTTAGCCCTGAAGAGGGTCATCTGTGAGTGCTTCGTTTTCCGAGGCTCAGAATGCATTTTTCACAGCACACCTGCTAACCTGCACAGCCCATAGTGACAGCCGGAAATCCGGCATTTCTGCCTTCAGAACCACACCATGTTCATGTGCTCGTGGTTTTTGTTATTTTCTTTACGTTAAGTAAAGTTGTTAACTGTCCCAGTGTGGGTATATAGAGAAGAAAGGAAACTCACATTTCCCTTACGGGGAGACGTCTGCCCCTCTGGCTTTGAAAGCCTTATTGGTTGGTTATCCTCAATATACTTGGTGCTCATGATATTCCTCATGATAAGCCAAATAATGTGTTTGCCAAAGCCAAGCAAGTAAGACAATGTTTTCTTTTTTTAAATATATTCATTTATTTCAGCAAGAAAGAGAAAGATAGCGTGCGGGTGGTGGGGAGGGGCAGAGGGAGAGAGAATCTCAAGCAGACTCCACACTTAGCGCCAAGCCTGACGCGGGGCTGGATCCCACGACCCTGAGATCATGACCTGAGTTGACACCAAGAGTCAGACACTCAACCGACTGAGCCCCCCCCAGACAGATGTCCCTGAGACAATTTTTTCCTGTTCGAGGCCTTTGGGATGCGGTTACTCCGCAGCGTAAACCTACATCCCAACAACAGACCTGCAGAGAGGAGTGTTGGCACCTCGTTACTTCCAGGTCTGGTTGAAGAAGCTCATTTCTTATCAAGATGATTGCACTGGAAACCACATGGATCATTCTCAGGGAGTGTGGTCAGGATGTGTCATTTTATCTCTTTTCTTCGTATATGGGCATCTGGGGCCCTGAGCCTCTTCTCTGTCCAGCTGTCTTGGCTCAGACGTGAAGGCAGGGATTGTCTCTCTGACAGGACGCGCTCGGAGCCCCTCCCTCCCTCTAAGGAGAGTGCTTCCCCTCCCCACCCCCAATTGGGATCAAACTCGTACCACTAAATGAACTTACTATTGGGGGGGGCGGGGAAGGCTTAATTAAGTGAGTAGTTTACAGCTTTGAGAGCCAAAACCCACAGAGGCAGTTTAATGGCAGAATGTACCCCAGGGCCACATGTTCTGATTCTCCGGCGTAGGGCGCAGGTTTACAAAGGGGTCAGGGTTAATGTTGAATGGCGTACAATTAGGGTTTTAATGCTGCGGTCACCAGGGTTTGAGAGACACGGAATTCCACCGTCGTCAGCTGCTTGTTTATGTTAGTTCAAGGTCTCTGCACCCGTGGGAGATGTTTAAATATTAAGGAAAGGGATGAATATGCAGCATGTATGTGATTATTGCACAACTTTATAAACTTGACACCTCGCCACAGAAACATTGCATTCAGCTAATAATTTAAGTTCTGTGGCGATTTAATGTTACATATTATGTGGATGGTCAATGTTATACATTAAATAAGTTTTAATGTCTAGAAATGAGGTTTTTATCCCCAGATCCAAACTCTCTCCCAAAGAGCTCCAAGAATTCTGTTGAGGATGTAAGGTAGTGAAAGGCCAGTGAACACTGTTGTTCACTGAACTCCGGCACCGTGCTGAGTCAGCATAGTATTGCACAAAGTAATTAGATGGAGGCTTATTAGCTGCTTTAATTCATTTATGACAGGTCCACCCAGCTCGGGCTTGAGTCAGGGCATTAAAGATTTGCTCGTCTTTGTGTTTCCCCCTTTTGAATTAGGTGCCATTAGTGACTGTTCTGTAAGCTTACTCTCGGCGGTAGGCAGCACATTGGTGGCATGGGCCTCGTGGATGGAGATTTTATGATAAATGTGGAAGTTTGTATCGCCTGGGCAATTCAGGTAGACTTTTTACGTTAACTTTAGTATCCATAGCTGTTAGCACAGGAATGTTTATGATTCCTTGAATTGTTTCCATCATAATTACCCTTCTTCTAAAAGCTAGAAATATTTTGGGGCACCTGGGTGGCTCAGTCGTTGGGCATCTGCCTTCGGCTCAGGTCATGATCCCAGGGTTCTGGGATCGAGCCCCGCATTGGGCTCCCTGCTCCGTGAGGAGTCTGCTTCTCCCTCTCCCACTCCCCTGCTTGCGTTCTCTCTCTCGCTGTGTCTGTCAAATAAATAAAATCTTAAAAAACAAATAAATAAAATAAATATAAGCTAGAAATATTTTAAGTAAAAGCAAAAAGCTCTTTCCTGCTGACCCTAGCTATGTGGGTTGTGACTGGAAACCACGGTCAGACTCTGTTCTTCGCACTGTTGTAGAATAACTGAGAGCAGGTCTTCTCCTGCAGGGGTGCAGATCTCTCTGCTTTGGTTCGGGAGGCGTCCATCTGCGCCCTGAGAGAGGAAATGACAAGACCGAAGGACGGAGGTGAGACAGGTAGGGTGCTTTCTGCAGTGTCTCCGTTCCCCGTCATCATACCTCTGGAACCTCACTGCTGACGTGGCTCTGACGAGACCGTTCCCATAGGCTTCGCCTCGCGTGGTTTCTGTGGCAGCCGTCTGGTAGCCTTTCAACCTCAGCCTCCCCCCAGAGTCCACACAGCACATTTCCAAAACACATCTGTTTTCATTCCCACTGTCTTTGGCTCCCAAGTCTCAGAGCAAACTTGTTTACAGTTCTGGCGGCGTCTCTGCTGCTGACATTTGTCCACACACGTGCCTTCCTGATGAAGTCCCTGTGTGTTTGTTAGATTCAGTATCCGAACTGCCTTTATTATAAGCTATTTCAGGATGTAAGTGATGAATCACTAAATTCTACTCCTGAAACCAACAGTATACTATATATTAACTAATTAGAATTTAAAAATTTGGAGAGAAAAATAAAAGAGCACTGGATATAGAATCAGGAAAAAAAAATAATAATAAAAAAGAAATTGCCGGGGCGCCTGGGTGGCTCAGTCGTTAAGCGTCTGCCTTCGGCTCAGGTCATGATCCCAGGGTGCTGGGATCGAGCCCTGCATTGGGCTCCCTGCTCAGCGGAAAGCCTGCCTCTCCCTCTCCCACTCCCCCTGCTTGTGTTCCTGCTCTCGCTGTCTCTCTCTCTGTCAAATAAAAAATAAAATCTTAAAAAAAAAAAAAAGAAATTGCCATGGCATTCAGATTATATGGAAAAAAAGGGTTTACCCATGGAGAGTTTTCTTACTCTGCATTAAAGTTAATTAAAATAAAATAATAAAAATAAATAAAAATTTAAAAAGTTTTTTTAAAATAAAAAAATCCTCTTGGAAGTAGGTGATATAATTCACAAACTTAGCATATCTTGTAAGAAACATCGTGTAAGTGTGCTGTCCGGGAGCAGAGTCTCACAGTGTTTTGGGATTTGTCACTGAAAATCTGTGGGCCTCTCTACACGGATTGGCTGTTTGGATGTTAGTTTATAATCATGGAGCAAATTCTGACATCTGTGCTCTGCTGCAGTTTACATTTCTAGTTACCTGTACTCTAGGGACTTAGCGTTGATATCTTCCTCACCGAAATACGTATGCTCTTCACCTTCCACTCAACGTGTTCAACTATATTTTATTTTATTTTTAGGTAAATATGGTATCCTAATATCTGTGTAGATAGTTCAGTTTTAATTGTCATTGCATAAGCTGTCATAGTAACATTTTAAACCAAGTCTTGTTCAAAATGTAGTTATTTGATTTACTTACATAATGGCACAACCTTTTATAAAGGAGAGCCCCTTCTGATCCAGTGTTGTGATATTATCTCTGTATCTAATATATATTATGATATAACTCCGTAACATCTGTTACTGCCTATGCACTCTTAAATAACTATGGAATATTACTTTCCACTCCCAGTTAAATTATTTGGATTATCTTAAAAAGGAACAGTTCTGGCTCTTCTTCACTAAACATTGCCATTAAGTTAAGGCGTAAACAGTGCAAAGAGGGGCTTTCAAAGGGTGTCTGTTTAGGAGTGATAGTCTCTTTGGGGTGTCCTGCAAAAACCTGATAAGCAGAGGGTTGGGAAATGGGGAGACGTTGGTCAGAGGGTAAGACTTCCTGCTATAAGATAAACACATTCTGGGGATCAGATGTGTTGCATGATGACTATAATTAACAATATGGATTGATATACTGGAAAGATGGTAAGAGAGTAGATCTTAGAAGTTATTACCCCCTCCACACACACACACAAGTAATCATGTGAGGGATGGATGTGCCAACTAACGTTTGTAGTGATCACTTTACAACACGTCTGAGATCATCACAATAGTCATACACCTTAAACATGTTTACATATGTTATTTGTCAGTGATATCTCAATAAAGGGGGGGGCGGGTAATGAAAACAGGGACTTTTTTTTTTAAACGGTAATAGTCTCTCTCTAATTAAAGAAGAACAAAGTACTTTTTTATATGATTTGTCCCAAAGTAAACTGTTTCAATTGCTGGAGGGAAAAAATTTACACTAAAATGGATGCTGATATAAAAGTTAAGCATTTGTTTAAAATTAAATATGGTCAGGTGTGTGTAAATTAAATGAAAATGAAAAAATGTCTGATGAGTGTGTAAATTAAATGAAAATGAAAAAACATCTGATGAGTGTACCGGGCTTGACTGTCATTCAGAAGAGACCCAGTGTGATCGCTATCTCCTCCGTGTTCCCTTGACTGCTTCGAAGTGTCTCAGGAGAAACTAGGCCGTTAGTCACGGTTAGCGCCCTCCATCCAGATGTGTTTGTGATTTGTTCCACAGGTGACCTCAAGGTCAGTCAGAAGCACTTTGAAGAAGCTTTCAAGAAAGTGAAATCTTCTATATCAAAAAAGGTAAGAAATGCTTTTAATGTGTAGAGAAGAGACTGGAATGGAGACCAGTAGATTGTGAACTCTTGGAAACCAGGAAAATACTTGTCTTTGTGGGAGTGTTCTTGAGAGGTGGTAGTTTTGTGTGTTTCTTGAAAGACTGAAGCCAGAGAGAGGATGACCCATGTGGGTCTTTCCACCGTCTGGGGATTTTTAGCCCATTTGGTCCGCGTGTCCCTTGACCTGCTCCACCCTTCCCAATAAGTCTTATCTGCCTGGAGCCAGCCTTCCCTATGGGACTCGCCCCTGCATTTCAGGCAGGTACAGATGTTTCACTGTAAGGTCAGAGAAGGGCTAAACACACGGCTCGCTTTTCTTTATATACAACGCCGGATCTCGTGTGTTTGCTTCTTACGGTGCGGAGGTAATCCGTTTGTGGTAACGAGGACGACTGCTGCAATACGGAGCTGCAGGGATGCATCCAGCCCACAGAAACAGTTGGCTTGGGCACCGCTGTGATAAAGCTCATTGACTTGGCAGTCTTTTGTTTGGGGTTCCTGGAAGTATAATGCGCCTTAGCCACGAGAACCTGCTTCCTGCTGGGCTAAAACTTCCATTAAATTATTAGCCATTTATTACCCCAGACCTCGTATTTCTCACAATATTTACTGATTGAAAACCCCTGAGTCAAAGTCCAAGGAGTTACATGAGGCAGGCTGCCCTGTTCGGTGTCTCAAGGTTTGCTCTGAACCTTCTAGGTTGAGGTGACCACCGTACCACCTTTTTTTTTTTTTAAGATTTTATTTTTAATTAATCTCTACTCCCAGCGTGGGGCTCGAACTCACAACCCCTAGATCAAGAGTCGCACGTTGTACCCACTGAGCCAGCTGGGCGCCCTCCCACCTTACCACCGGTGACCACAGGAACCAGTTAATTAGTTTGGGCTGGTGGTGGTTTTGATTCGGCTCTCAGAGAAGAGTCTGCTGTACCCACACTCAGTTCTCCACCATAGCTGGAAAGAGTGGTCTGCCTTCGCCTCTCAGGCATTTTTGTATCCCAGAGGAAACCGGTCTGTTCTGCTGAGCATCTTTGAATAAAACCCAGGAACAGTTTGATAGTTAATGTCACTGGTGCTCTTCATTCTGATCAGCCACGCCCTCTGTTTGAAAACCCGTTTTTCATCCATGCATGGATCCGTTCCTGTGCTCTCTGTGTGTCTTCAGGCCACGGTATCTTTTTTGCCACTGTCTTGATGACTATAGATCTTAAGTCTTGGGATCAGGTAGTATAAGTTCTCCAAATTTGTCCTCTTTATCCCCCTGTCAATTTTTAAAAATATTTTAGCTCCTTTTCATTTCCATATAAAACATTGTTTTAGTTGAATTGTTCCTCTCCTGCAGCTGGAGTCCCGGGCTTGTCAGGACTTAGGACGCGGGGACGAAGCGCCTCCTCAAGGGGACACGGGGACGTGGGAATGCGGCCCCTCCTCTAGCCTCACTGTTTAGTAGAAGTGTATGCACACGGTAGTGCACACTCACAGTTCTGTGATCTCCAACAAGCGTAGCCGGCACTGCCATCAGTGTCTAGAACATTCCATCCCTCCCAGAGTTCCTTGTGGCCCCTCGGTGGCCGCCGCTGACAGCACTGCCCGTGACTGCAGGTCTGACCCGTGTGTGGGCTGCATCCCCATGGAAGCCTGCGGTGTGCACTCCCTAGTCTAGCTGCTCAGCTCGGTGGAGGGCTTCTGGGGTCCGTCCCTGTTGTGTGGGGTCCGTTTCTAGCTGAGCAGCTTTCCAGGATGAGAATATAGCACATGGTTCCTTCTCCTTTCCTCTCTTGGGGGACACTCGGCGCTGCCGGGGTGTGTGTGGTTTCCTGAGTAAACCGCGGGTCAGTGAGCAAGCACAGTCTTGCCCTTCTCCTGGGCACACAGCCGGGGCGCGCGGCCGCGGCTCCAGACCCTTCCGTGGGAAGCGGCCGAGTCCCCCAGTGTCAGGGTCCTTTCATGGCGGTGTCCGGCGGCACGGGAACTGGTGCCCCGTGTGCTCTCCATGAGCATCTCCAAACAGTCGGACGGCCAGCACAGTTTCACATGCTCGTGGGCCATTTGGAGTTCTGCTGTCCTGTCCTCATGCTTCGCTCCTAAACACGAGACATTTCTCTCCTTACTATAAACTTGCACAGATTCTTAGCTTATTTAGATGTGCACGCGCAGAGGATATTCTGTCCAAATCTGCTCACCTTTCTGTCGTCTAACGCACCTTCTGGAGAGTAGGAGCCTTGAATCCAGAAAGAGGCCGACTCGGCTCCTGCATGTATGGCTTGTGTGTCCTGCCATGGAAGCTTATGATCCGTCTCGGATTAATGTTTTAGTTTGATGAGAGGGGAGGTGGGGGTCTTGTTCCGTGTTTCCATGTGGCTCCTCCTTGCTCCAACTCTGTCGCGAAGACTTTCCTACGGAGTCACCATGCCCTCTGTTTGAAAACCCGTTGTTCATCCATGTGTGGATCTGTTCCTGTGCTCTATGTGTGTCTTCAGGCCACGGTATCTTTTTTGCCACTGTCTTGATGACTATAGATTTTAAGTCTTGGATCAGGTAGTATAAGTTCTCCAAATTTGTCCTCTTTATCCCCCCGTCAATTTTTAAAAATATTTTAGCTCCTTTTCATTTCCGTATAAAGTTTATAATCAGCTAATCGATTCCTACACGAGAAGCCTGCTAGGATTTGGAATGGGACTGAATCTAGATCAGTTGTGAGAGCAGAGCTTAAGAATAGAGAGTTTTTCACTTCATGAACTTAGTGCTTCTGTCCACTTATTTATATTCATTTAATTTCTCTTATATAAATTTATTCACTTTTTAATTCATTTAACTTCTTAGATCCACCTGACTTAGTGAGTTTTCATTATAAATATGTTACCACCTTTCATCAGATTTATTCCCAAGTAATTTATACTTTTTTATGTTATTTGTGGATTTTTTTACATCTTGTTTTCTAATTGTTGCTGATATATAGAAGTCCCGTTGGTTTTTTTTTTTTTTTCTTTAAGATTTTATTTATTTATTTGACAGAGAGAGACATAGTGAGAGCAGGAACACAAGCAGGGGGAGTGGGAGAGGGAGAAGCAGGCTTCCCGCGGAGCAGGGAGCCCGATGTGGGACTCGATCCCAGGACCCTGGGATCATGACCTGAGCCGAAGGCAGACACTTAACGACTGAGCCACCCAGGTCCCCCGTTGGTTTTTATCTATTGACTTTGGATAGTTCATTTATCACTCTCTTACTTTCTTTACCTCCAAGATCAATTTTCTAGAAACTTTGCTGTAATTTTGAAAAGTTCCCACGTTTGCTGCTTGAATGACTTTATTACAGAGGCCACAAATGTGTTGTGCAAAGTTCCAAAAATCACTTGACCTGATTTCTGAATTTGGCCATGTTTTCATCCAAGCAGCTACGACAATTAAGGAGTAAGTCTTTGCTTTATCTCCTTTGCACACTTTTGCAGGTGAATTTGACACCAGTGTGTATTATGTTTATTGGGGGTCTCGGATCCTGCTTCCTTCTCTTTTCCTGGTGCTTCCCAGTTGAGAGCTGTGGTAAAGAACCTCTTCACAGGCAGGGTCGAAAGGTATGGTGCTTTTCTGGATGTGAATCTGAGCAGCTCATTGATAAGCCACCTCATTCTGCTTTTAAAATGAGGGCTCTTTTAGTTGTAAATGACAGAACCCAACTCCAACTCAGGTGAGCAGGGAAAAACAGAGTTCCTGGGGGCGCCTGGGTGGCTCAGTCGGTTAAGCGTCTGCCTTCAGCTCAGGTCATGATCTCAGGGTCCTGGGATCGAGTCCTGCATTGGGCTCCCTGCTCGGTGGGGAGTCTGCTTCTCCCTCTCCCACTCCCCCTGCTTGTGCCCATGGGCTCACAAGATCTCTCTCTCTCAAATAGAAAAATAAAATGATGTAACTTGAGTTTAAACAACAACAGAGTTTGTTGGTCCATGTAACAAGGATCTTAAGAGCACAGTTGGCTCTAGGCTGCAGAACCTCATTCCTTTGTTTCCTGGGGGAAGGTGGGTGCCTGCAGGCCCAGACACTTCCCAGCTAGAGAGGTCCCCGCCAGCTCTGGTGGGAGAGAGTCTCACGGGAGCCTGGGGTCGGCCCAGCCCAGGTTAGGATCCCATGCCAGAACCAGTGTGGCCAATTAGGAAACTAGATGTCCTGGCCAGGGCCCACGTGAGGGGCCGTGGAGTTTTATAAAGGTCACACTTCAAGGCCTAGAATGAAAATCTGTAAATAAGGTGCTGGTGACTCAAGTTAACTGACGTGGTAGTGGCGGGGTTGGGGTTTGGAGTCTTCATGCTGAAAGAGAACCACTAGATTTTGTTTGGCATGCAAGGAACACTTAGCACATTTTAGCCTCTCAGACGTACTTACAGAAATGGCGATTGCTCTGAAGTGAGTGAACACGGGATTCATGTTGAGGAGACGTCTAAGAAGACAGACGTCCTGTCCCGAAATCTGCAGAGCTGGCCTTCCTAGTTCTCAAATACTCAGCACGCTCTTAGTTTAGAGGCCAAATGCAGAGAAGTGTCACCTGGCCCAGTAAGCCCTGGGTAACTGGTTGAGGGTGAGGGTGTCGACGGGGAGCGGACACTCCTCTCCATCTGTCTGTCCTCACCGGCTCCCCCTCGGGCAGGGCCAGGCCCTTAGGCTCCACCTGGAGGCCCCTGCCCATCCTAATTGCTAGTGAGTGGCCGCGTCCTGTGTGGTCCCAGGAGGACCTGACAGGCTGGCGATCTGTGAGGACAGATGCCTGACACAAAAGCCTGGGCCATCCGCCAGCAGCTTCTCAGAATCCGGAGACGTGTGTCCCGGCCGCGCCACCCTTCCCGGCCTCCCGGCCGCACCTGGCTTCACAGGCCGCGCGGGATAATTGCCCGTGCGGTGTTCCCTGCGCGCCGGAGACTTGAGGCCAGCTTCGCTGCTGTCCACGTTGAGACCTTGAGATTCTTCTCCCAGATACTTACTGTCTCACGTCTCAGGCTTTTCACTCTGCTTCCTGTGGCTGTCTCCCACCGTCAGGAAGGAAACCTCACTCAGACAGTCGGATTTCCTTCTCAACTTCCTCTGTTAAACCACCCAGAGCAACCCTCCTGCTTCTGTGCTCATCACACCCGCTGCCCACACCCCTTCCATTCTCTTCTCCACACTCAGGAGTAGACGGTTCATTTCCCGGATTGTTTCCACCCCACGGACACTCATAGGAGAACGGCCCCTCCAGTCAGAGCCCCCTGCCCCCAGCTGTGTTTTAATGGGTTACCTACCATCCAACTCTTCACGTGCATCAAGTACCTGCTGTACGCGTGGCCAGGCACTGTGCTGGACTCCCAGATAGAAGAGCCGCCGGAGACAGGGCTCCCACACATAGAACACGCGTTAACCTGGTCACTCGATCTGTCGGTGTTAGGAAGAGGCTTACATGTAGCTTTTGCTTGAATGGGACCAACTACACGGCAAAGGCCGTGTGACTGATCTTAATTAAAAACGTATCTGCACCTGTCATGCCACACATTGTGGAAGGCTGCACAGATGTCCTCGTGAGACTTAGTACCAGCATATTCTTCTTCATATTTTTGGTGATCGTAATCTTTAAATACTTGATTTCTGAAAAACTTAGTGAATAAGAAGCTACAACTTCTCTTTTGGAAATAGGCATAGTATGAATTTTGAATAAATATTCAGTAAAGCAGATGACCAAGCTGATTATTAGTTTGATCTTTTAAAAATAAGGCATCCCATCAAGGTGAAGCTCCACGTTCCTCGTTTGGCTCCCTAACTGGCCCTCATGAAGCAATTACTTACGAAACTAGTGATGGCTGCTTGTGGGGAGAGACCGGCTGCCGGGTGGGGCGGGGGGGGTGTGCGGGCTTTATCCTCTTTGAACTTTGCACCATATGAAGGTCTTACCTGTTCAGAAACATTAAATATCGAGGGGCGCGTGGCTGGCTCAGTCGGTGGAGCGTGCAACTCTTGATCTCAGGGCTGTGAGTTCAAGCCCCACGTTGGGTGTAGAGATTACTTAAAAATAAATAAAAAATTTTAAAAATTAAAAAAAATTAATATTGAAAAAATAGTAATTTGAAAGTTCCAGAAGACCAAAATAGTAATAATAGTTATCTCTGGAAATGATTTTTTTCCCGCTGATCTGTATTTTCTAATTTTTTTGCAATAAATCTTGTTTTATAATTTAAAAAGTTATTTTACTCTAAAAAAGGAATTGCTCTAACCTGGTTATAAACTAAGCATGCCTAAAATGTCTTTACAGTAGATTATTCAGCAGTGATACTGATGTACAGAGGGACCCTTTTATCCTATTTCAGAGTTAATTCAGCATTTCACTAATTCCTACTTTATGTTCACCTTTGAAACTGTTTGACAGGTACTTGAAAAATCACTGAAACAAGTACATAGTTTTTTTTTTTTAATTTTCAAATCCATCTTTCAAACCGGAGGTGAACATTAAGTGCAGTCCAGGAAATGGGTTTCCCCCGTGAACGGAAAATCCGCCCTGCCCTCTGGTCAGGGTTCTGACTTGTCGCAGAGAGAACATCCGCTCTGCTTCTGTCTGACTCAGGATTGTCCTCAGAGTAAAAGCTAGTGGTCGTAAAGGCCCCTCTGAACACTGGGCAGACCTCACACATGTAGAGGGGCCCACTGTGGCCGCTTCTGGGAACGAAGCTGCATTTCTGCGAATGTCTCCGCAGCCGCCAGACGTCGGGGACTGTGGCTTTTCTCTGGCGCCCCCAGGCTGGTCAGCAGACACCTCAGTGCTAAGGCCGTTGGTTGCTGTTAGGAATCATTTAAATGGCTCTACTCTGTTCTTTTGATTTTTGCTTATTTTGTGTTGGGGACCAAACAGGGGAACCGAAAGTTCCTGTGGGAAACCAAGCAACCTGTAGCAGCAGGAAAACTGCAGAAACACCAAGTTGGGGGTGGGGGCGGCTAAAAACACAATCTGTTTTCTAAAAGCCTCAATAATTAAAACATTGTGATAGGGTACATGAACTGACCCTAATTCTAACTTCTGTAAACAGTCCGTCATGCTGGTCCCCACGCCGGTGACAGAAAGACGGGGATTGATGTAGGGCAGCTGGGAGTTGGGCTCACATGCCGCACGCCAGGCCGGGCACTCGCCAGAGCAGGCGGAGCTCCATGTGGAAGGACGGGAGGCTGGCCGTCCCTCATCGCGGGGTGGGCCAGGCTGGTTTCTCCTGAGGCCGTGCGTCCTCTACCCGTGTCCTCACCTGGCCCCCCGGGCCCGTCTGTTCTTCATCCGTCTTCCTGCAGACATGTGGTCCTATGTCCTGGGGGCTTCGTTATAACTTCACTGCCTCCCTGAAGACCTGACCTCCGGTCACTGCGCAGTCCTGGGGGTGGGACGTCAGCGTGCGCGTTTGGGGGACGCAGTTCAGCCCCCATCACACTTATCGGCTCTCTGTCTGTCTTGTCCCCTGTTCTCAGGACCAGGTGATGTATGAAGCTCTGCAGCGGTCCCTCAGCCGGTGACCCCGGCAGCAGCTGGCCTCGGAGCAGGACAGTGCGTCCAGCCGGCCGAGAAGCCCGCACGCTCTGAGCTGCCCGCTTGCCACCTGCTGCGGATGGGGTCCCATGTGCGCATGTTATTCCCAGAGTGACGTGGCCGGTCAGAGCCAAAGACTCTTCCCATCTGGCCAACTGGGTGCGGGAACACCCTCCCCACTTTTTAAGAACAAGAAAGATGTTTAACTGCTCAATTAAAATAACCGATAACTTTTTTTAAATAAAATGTTTATTTTGAAACTGTCTCGACTGTACTTCGGAAGAGTTGCGATCACAGTAAAAACTTTTCCCCTAAGCCATCTGAGCATGCGTTGCCAGCCCGAGACCCTGTCACCCCCAAATACCGTGATGTATGTCTCCCGCGCCCCAGGGTCCCCCGATAGCCAGCCATCACACTCAGGAAACCAGCCCGCGAGGCATGGCCGTCGCGTGGGCCCCCAGCCCCTGCCAGGCCCCTCTCTCCAGCTGCCCCAAGTTGTCCTTCGTGACAGAAGGGCCAGGAGTGAGCTGTCTGTTCCTCTTCTGCTTGAGTTCCCTCGAGGTCAGACAGTTCCCGTCTCCTGACTTATGCTCTGGAAGGTTCCGGCCCAGTTACTTTGTAGAACGCCCTTGGCGGTTTGTTAGCGGCGTCCTCGTGGTTCCACCCCGGCTGCGGCAGGAGTTTCACGAAGGGGTGCCATGTTCTCGCTGCATCCTGTCCGGTGGCGCCGTCAGGATTTGTCCTGCTCTGACATGGTCCCTGTGATCCCATGGGAGGGTGGTCCTTCCGGGCTGCGCACGCGGCTCCTCCGTGGAGGGAGGTGCTGGGAACCACGAGCGAATCCCTTCAGCACAGCTAGCTGCACCGTGTGTTTGTGTGGGTGACTCTCAGGCTGCCCAGGTCTGGCCTGCTGGGGCCTCTCCTGCACCTGCGCGCCTTCGACAAGCCCCCGCTGCGTCCCCAAGGGCTGCGTCCGTGTTCACTGTCCTCGCCCCTTCTCGGTGCTGCTCGCGGCGCCATGTGACACCGCAGACACGGGCGCTTGCCTCCTTTTCCTTCCACTCCCCGCTCCACCTCACGCTACGGAAACGTTTGTGCTACTTCGAAGAGTAATCGATGGGGGCGCCTGGGCGGCTCTGCCGGCTGAGCGTCTGACTCCTGGTTTCGGCTCAGATCGTGATCCCTGGGTGGAGAGCAAGCCCTGTGTTGGGCTCACTGCCGGGAGCTGCTGCTCCCTCTCCGTCTCTCCACCCCCGCTCACTCTCTCTCTTAAATAAATAAAACTTAAAAAAACATGGCGAAAGTCCAAGAGTGAAGAAATCCCAACAGGTCGTCAGCTTCTCTTCCCTCTGCGCCAACACCTGCTCTTCCTCCTGCGTCCTGGTCTCCCCCGCTCAGACCCTGAAGGCATCTTCAGTCTGAACGCAGTCAGGCCTTTGTTAACCCTGTTTCTGCAAGCTTCCCTTCCCTCGTCCTCACGGGCGCTGCCTTGCGCTGCCATTACCTTTCCTCTTCTACCGCGGTGTGCCGCTGGGCCTCCCGTTCCAGTCTCGCAGGCACTGAAACCAGGGGCGCCCTCCCAAAATACTCATCAGTGACGCTGAGACAGAGCAGGGACTGGACTCGGGTCCCTCGACCCTGACTGCAAGATCCAGCCCCCATGAGGAAGAGCAAAGGGCTAGGACTCTGGGCCGGGGGAGGACGCAGCCGGCAGGGACAGGACCCAACCAGTCTGCACCACCATGGACCCCAGCGCTGACCTCTCGCCGGCTTTTTCCCTCATTATTGTGCTAAATATTGAACATGTGAACAGACATGCCACGCATGAAGAAGCGTGACCTTTGGGTGTGCAGGTGCTAATAAATCCCACCTGCACGTGCTTAGCTGTCACTGTTTTGCCCCTGACCTCTCCCCAGGGCCTTGGCCCGAGGCCACTTTCCTCTGTGCGTCTCCCCTCTAGCTGGAGCATAACCCCAGCAAAGTCTCTCCGGGAACTCCGTCAGCCTCACATTGGTTCTGCTTGGTTTCGGTTGCAGCGTCACTTCTCAGCTCAAACTCAGTAGTCTAATTATACACGGACCTCTGGTGATGGGACATCAGCCCACCCTCAGCACCTGTCCCCTGACCCCAACTGACATGTACTATAATTCCAGGGAAGCTCATTGTTCTCTGAGCCTTGGCTGGGGAGGCCCCCGCCCCCTGGAATGCCTCCTGGGTCCTGTCCCACCCAGCACAGGGCCTGAAATACCACTGCCCCAGAAGCTTTGCCCAATCCCTCCCTCCGCTTGTGCGTGGGCTGAGTTTCGTGCTGACCTGGCTGGTGGTGCCCATGTCGGATCAGCTCCAAGTGCGAGACCCACCTTCTCCACGCAGCGTCCCGACCCCTCCGTGCATCTGTGGCACTTGACTCGGAATAAGAACAAAGTAACTGTTGAGTTACATAGCTGAATGACTTCCCAAAAGGAAGCAGCATTAACATTGGGGAGATCTGATGTTTCCACCCAAATCTACCCAAGTGGGACCCGGTGGCTCCGAAGAGGAGCCCACGGGACTCTGGGGGCACATCATCTGGTGCTGAGTTATTGCCGCTCAGAAGGGCTCCCCAAACACTTGTCCCCGGCCGAGCAGAACCTTGGGTGTGCTCAAGGCTCTCAGAACAAACTGTTGGTGAGAGTTGGGCCTGCATGAGCATTCTGTAAAACAGAAGGCTTTAAAAAGAGATGATATATATATGTTTTATAACAAAATTCTAATTACTTTGTTTTGCGCAGACAGGAGCATCTGCTCTCCTACCCTAGCTGGCTGTGAGTGAGCCTGGTCAGTGGACAGTGGGTCTTCTTTTGAGACTCCAGGAAGTTTTGCTGGCTTGAACTTTCTCAGAATTAATAGTGTGGAAAGCGAAATGAGCTTCCCAGTCACGGGG